AGCTAAATATTAATTCTAACCAAGTTAGGGGAAACTACTTTAATGGCGGGGGCGTGGCTTAATCCCTGGCGTTGGCAACGGCCATGAAGATTGAGATATATTGTACTCCATATAGGTGTCTGTATGGTATGTGTCTGTAAATTAGAAATTTCAATTGCAATTAGGAAATTCGCAAATTCCAAACACGTAATTGAGAATTCCCTTTCTATCCTTTTTCCCGCTGGCCGCTAATGCATGGCAACTTTGTTATTGCTGCCAATTAGGTTGCCATTCTGTTTGTGCCAATGTTTGCATATTATTTCTGCCCAATTTGCATTGATGCAATATTGTTCATGTCCCCCCAGGCCCACTCGCCATCCAGCCTCTGTCAAATGCTGAAAATGTCAAAATTTAAATATTGAAAGTGACGTTCGCGCAACTGGCTCGCTCGGTCTGTCGCAAAACAAGCCAAAAACCACCCAAAACACACCCATTATCCCGGCTATTCCCCATCCTGCCTCAGTGGCAGGCGTTGCACTAAGCGGATAAGCGCTTGTTAAATTTTTAATGCGTTGCATAATTTTTAGTTCGCCGAGAATATTTTGCACAAAATATATTTTAATTCGAATGGTTGCCTCGCTGGTGGCGGCGCGGCGGCAGGTCGGAGTGTAAAGTGCCGGCTGCATTTGAAATGAGCTGCATGTGGCATGCTGCATGTGGCGTCGATTAAGCCCAGCTTAGAAGCCCCATATTCTGCACTCAACCAGGCGACAATGATCCATTTATTTGCAGCAGCCGCATTGCAAACATCAGCGGGGGCGTTGATGGAAATTTATATTAATTTTAATTTTCCGCCGCCATGTCTTCCCATCAATTATCAGACTCTGCCGCTCTCCGTTCTCCATTCTCCGTCCTCGGCGCATTTAAATTTTACCAGGCAAAGTCCTTGATAAACATTTTTCAATTAATTTTTATTTGCTGCCGACGACATTTCTTTGTCCGCACACACGCGCATATATTTATGCCGCTGCTCTGAGCATTATCCAAAAAAAAAAAAAAAACAGAATATCCTGATATACATATCCTGTATGTATGTAGGAAGAAAGCAACAGGGGCAACAGCAATGGCAACGGCATCTCCTTTATGTGTTTCACGTATTTCTTTAACGGATTTCCACTTGTCTCACTTTTTGAGAAAAACTTGTCGAGATGGCACACGCATTGTCAAGCGCACTCAGACCCCGAGATAAGGAGATCCAGATCCAGATCCAGGTCCAGGACCGAGGAAAAATCTTACGCGCTCTCCGGGAAAACAAGAATGGGCAGCAGCGACGCGTTAAAAATTTTCCATGCCAGGATTCTGTCTGAGATGTGATGGCTGGAATTCAAGGAATGACAAACGATTTGAATTCTGAAATAAACAATTGTTAATTTTTTTTTAAATATTTACTTTAGAAATTTACTCTTTACTTAAATAAATGAGAAAATATGTACTTTTTACAGATTGGAAAATATTTGTTTCAAATACAAAATTTATAAACCTTAAGGCAGCATCTTTATTTTTAAATTTTATTTTTATTTTCTTGTTAAATATTTTTTTTGCTACCCTGTCTCGAAAGAGGACACTCTGAATATTTATTAAGGACACACGCACACACTGCCGCTTTTACCATGTTAAGTAATTTCTTAAACAACACAACAGGTCGCCGCCATTGGCATGGCCTTGCCAGGACCTCCATGTCCCTGTCGCCGGGCGTGCCCCTTCCCAGCAGAGTCGCCTCCTCATTTGCTGTAACTGACGCTGAGTGGCAGACACACAGATACTCACATAAGCAAATTGAATTTAATGCTTTCTGCCGTTGCTCCTCGGCGGAGAAAGTGGAAAGAAAGCGCCTGTGAATGGAGCCTGCCATGTGGGGAGAGTGCAAGGGAAAGGGAAACAAATCAAGAGGCAGCGGAGGAAATAAAAGCCAAACGAACAAATAAATACGCACAAGTACATAAATTTAAATTATTTTCGTGGTCTCCTTGCCAGGCCGCCTCGGCTTTCATTTATGCTTTTTATTTTATTATGCTGTCTCTGCGTTTCGTTTTATTCGAAGGATCCGGCATTTGGCTATGGCGAGACGTCCTGGCACACTTTCTGAACGCCCTCAAACTGCGCCTCCTTCGGCATCTCTGTATCTATATCTGTTGATGTTAATCTGCAGATGTATCTGCATCTGTGCCCGTAGCTGTATCTGTAACTGTGGCGGCGCATCTTCAGCTCCAGCTGTCTCTCAGCGAACTATGCGGCCGCATCGAGCAAACAAACGCACAGAGGCCCAGAAACACGATACACACACTCGAAGACGTCCTTGGTCGCCTTGTGTAAGCCATGTTAACTGGGATTTGACAGCTCGTAAATAATATTTCGCTTGTTTGTTGGCTCGGCACAACGAGAGCAACGTCTTCCACAAGGCCGGAACGGAGACAGTGGTCTAAAAAAGGTTAAACTTAAGAAGTAAAAAAAAATATATGTATATATTATTTTGCTACAGGTTTCGATCTCGCTACTGCCATTGCTTATTATTGGATGATGTTAGAATTCTTAACATTCTTAAAGGGCAAGCTATGTCGCTTTAGTCCTGTGAGACATTTTCTTCTTATTCCTTGCCTTTTAAATAAATTTTAATTACAACTTGGCGAACCACTGTGACATATCCAATGGCAGTCATGTGAAAACGAGAAACGCATTTCATTTTTAAGCTTCCTCCATCTTTGCCCTGCTTGTTAAACAATCTTTTTACATGACATATGTGGGTGGATGTGGGCCGAAGGAGTCAGATTCAGATTCGGTTGTGGATGAGGAAGTGGATAAGGATGCGGCTGCTGCTCCGCCATGTCCCGATTTTTCTGGCCCAAGCTGCCACTCTCATTATACGAGCTTCGTCTGCTTATTAAATTTTCATAGGGCTTGGAGCTCGTAAAAATTGTACTTGGTTGCTTTTAAACGGGCAAGTGGATTAAAATTAAAGCGGCGACCAACTTCAAAGGCGCACCCGTAATTAAAGCCATGAAAACTGTCCACAATTCGATTGCCGAAACTGAATTAAAACGGAACTCTCGACCAGAACTCTCGAACGTCCAAAGGCGAAGAAACAAAGCTGAGACGGAGATGAAAACCTAGGGCAAAGTCTGGAAACCACAGGAGAGATTGCAGGTCAGGAGATGGGAGACTGGAGATGGGAGACAGAAGACAGGAGGAAGGACCCGCAGGATTCGCTCAACTGGAAGAAGATGATGGCGATGACGAGGCGGTGAGAGATAGCTAAGGTCGCTTTTCCGGTTTTTCCCCAAACACATGCCCACAAACTCACAGACATACTGACACATGTCTGTGGGTTAGATATATACGTATTTCGTATTCCGTATGATATATAGGTATATAAAGGGAAACATATATACTGTTACCAGGCGTGGCCGCTGGCAGTGCTGAAAGTGAAGCATCTTGTGCAATGTAAACGAAACGTAGCCGATAAAAATAATACGAGAGGCAATTTCGATTTATTGACAGGTGCTTGGCTTTATTGAAACGTTTAACTCGAAAACCGAATCGACCAGAAGGAGGAAAGCCGCCTTCGACCCACACACCTACAGACATATGGTATGCAAAATTGTGCAAAACGATAAAAATTATGTGAGTTTCATTTTGATTTATCACTGCGACGCTGCCAGAGTGGAGTTTGCTCGAACCGAGAATTTGGCTGTGGGCTGTTAGATTTGGGCTTGGGTTTGGGTTTTTGGGCCATTTAATGGGCTAGCATAGATAAGGAGCAGATTTATGATTGTGCAATACCGAATTTGGACAAATTTAATTACTGTTTGGCCCGTACTTCCTGTGGAAAGGAGGCACGCACTATCATAAATTCCAATGTGCATTTAATTTTGTCAAGTGACACGTCCGCAAAGACACAGTCGCCCGTCAATGGCCCGGCATTATTAAATAATGAAAATTGAATAGTCCTAATTCGGCCTGATGACAAAGTGGGTCCAGGTAAGGCGTCTTGTCTACGGGACACGTGCCACTCTCACACGCAAACAGACACACATGCCGACAGGATAGTCCCAATGCCTCCAATTGTGGTTTTCCTTTTGTCGCTTCCGTTTCCGCATAATTTTTGCAAGCGGAAAGCTCGAGAGCAGCGCGCTAACAAAACATTTGCTAAAACGGAAGCCGACAAACACACAGGACGACTCGGGACGACCCGCAAACACACACAGAACACTAAACCCCCTTTAAGCTTACATAATTTGGTGTTCTGAAGAAAGGTGAACTCAGGTTCAGGTCCAAAAAAGGGCCAATGCGGGCACGTACGAGCTCCAAAAAGCGCCCCTCGTCCTGCGTTCCACTTAATTTGTCGAGGACAACGGGAAGGAATGGGGGGAACGGAGGAAAGGTTGCATGTGATTTGTGTCAGCGGCGGAGTCGCGCGTCCAGGATATGTCCCAGACTATATTTTATGCCGCCGGGCGACAGTTACAACAATAAAACATTTCGGATGTCTTGTCTTGTCGCCCGTCTTGTCCTGCTCCTGCGGATCCTGATCCTGCGCCTGCTTCTGCCACTGCTTGGGGTCCTGTCCCCTCAGGCCAGGACGCATCCACGCACCTGGCCAAAGGGCTGAATCGGTCTGGCTCGTAATGAACGATGCCTGGCATTTTCTTGTTATTTTTTCATGCCGCAGACGTTGGGCGGACGGCAGCGACATTATCCTTGTAGTTAATGTGGGCGCCCTGCCTTTTACAGGCAATGCACGCACTGCCTCCCACGCGGTGGTACAGTGGCTAAGGAACCGCATTATGTGGGTAAAAATCTCATGAACCGGTGTGTAATTATAATTATTATAATTTTGTGTATGTATGTAGAAATGAATAAAATGTGCTTGTGCTTTTCCTTGTTATGTGAGTTGTATTGAGTTTTCTAAATAAATAAGTGATTTACAAAAAATATCTAGTTATCACTGAATAAGATTTATAATACAAATAATTCCACATCCCTTGCCAGTAAGCTTCATAAGTTGAATAAACTCAGACATGAATAGAATGTTTTCCCGACTTGCAACTTCGAGCCTTATTTGGCGTCGCAGCTTTTCCATTTCGACTGTTCGACCAAAGGATGCCTGCTATAAGGCCTTTGAGGATAAGGTACGTGAATACCGCCTTAAGAGTCCCGATGGCAAGCCAGTCGATCCTACTCCCGAATACTACCAAGAGTTGGAGGAGGCCCTTGCCAAGTTGGCCGAGACCTATGGCGGGGGCAAAGACGTGGACTTGCTCGAGTTTCCGAAATTTCAAATACCCGATATAGAAATTGATCCCATTTCGGTTTTGGATCTGTAAGATCTTTAGATTTGTCTTAGCTTATTTCTTCTGACAATATTTAATTTGTAGTCCCGAGAACAAACCAAAGAAGGACGAAGGGGGCAAGACTATTGAGGCCAAGGAGGCCAAAGGTAAAAAAGGCGATCCCAAGAAGGGCAAAGATGATAAGGACAAGAAGGCGAAAGCCGGAGGGAAAGACGATAAGAAAGACAAGAAAGATAAACCAAAATCCGATGAAAAGAAAAAATAAGCCTTCAAATATGGATAGTTTTTCACATATTTTTAAAAATTACTTGATGTAGAATCTACATGGTAGATTTCCAATAAAGTTCGTTTGTAGTTCCACTGTAACATCGCCGGAAGAATAAAAGGCTGGATGTCAGGAATGCCCCGCAGCCGAGATAATAATGCCGCAGTGTCCTTTATCCTTCATCAGCCTTGGTTTGGCTCACCTGCCTGCCACCAGCCAGCAGCTACCTGCCATGTGCCTCCTGCCGCCTCCCACTGACTTGGCGGTTGACTGGCAAATAATGCGTTACGCATACGCACTGTATGCCCGTGGGCCGCCGGTGAAGCCTGCGTGCGGAAGTGACAATGAGACGGCATTTAAAATTCATTAATTGAACGCATTTCCTGCTGAACGAATTCGAAGTCGATCCGCCAACCGCTGCCGCCTCCTTATTAAGCCATCTGTTCGTGTTCTGTAATTGAGGCCAACTGAGCTGAGCTCCTTTTGGTTCCTTTCACTGTACAGTTTTAAAGCCTTCTTCCTGCAGATGAAAACTTTACTTCACACTGCATAAATTAATTGAGTCTTCAAACAACAGACTGTGTCTGCGGCTTGCCTTTTCGTAGCAAATTGGGATCGGGAAATGGGGATTGGGGAACTGGGAACTCATCTCCGTGGGCAACCGCACCATCAAAAACTTTTCCTCTCGACTCCTCGGGTCCTGGCTGCAGCGTCTAATGCATTTTTCATGCCCAGTTTGAATGGCAGTCTCGGCGTGCATAGCCGTCTGCTCTGATGCAATCGAATTAAAATTTATGACAAAACCATTAACAAAGTTGCCGCTGGCGGTTGTCTTCCCGATGCCCAAGCCATTTTCCAGCCGCCCACAAGCCAACCAGGTCACATCCAAAACTTTTTAGCCATTTTCTGACGTGTCTTTAGATTTAAGGAACTCACTTGGTCAAAACTTTTTGCAAATTAATCGATGTTCGAAACGATTAAACCCTTCCAATTAGCTCTGCGATACGGTTGAAAAAAAATAGCAACTCTTGCTGCAATCGAATATTTCCATGGTAAATTAATATTGAATTATGTTTCCCTCTGAATTCTGAATTATTTATAATAGGTTTCCTCATTAAATTTTTAAGTATGTATGCCATAGTAATTCTGTATTGATATTTTCTCTTTATTTTAGCTCATTAATGTAGTTTCATATTTCTGAAATCAATTAATAATTTGGAACGTTTGTAAAGGTAACCCCTAGTTTTCATTTATTGAAATATATTTTCAATAAGAACTCTATCTTTCTGAATTACCACCAATTATTTTAAAATATTATATGTATGCCATGGGCGCTTGGAAATAATCTTGCATTTATAACAAAGTTTATAACGAAACCCTAGCTATTCTCATTATTCCAAGCCAATTTTTCCCTCATTAAAAGTGGCCTGATAGGATGGATTAGTACTTCTTTTTAATGGATATTTGTACATATATAATACAAATACAGATTGAATATAAAATAAAAAAACAATTGAGATATATTCTAAACAAGTCTAAAAACCAATATTGAAGGCTTCCTATCTTCCAAGACCTGTCATTGTACCCATTGGAATGCGTGGGTATTTGACTTGCTACATTTATGGCCAGACACTCGGTAGTAACCAAGAAAGACTTCTGCCCGGGCCTCGGCCACCTCCGCCGGGCCATAAATGCTTAATGGTTCTGAGCCGAGACCCGTTTAATGCCATGTTCTATTTGCGCATACCACAAATGTCTGACCAAGTGGTCGACAATGGCCCCCAAGGACTAGGATCCGCCAACTCCCTAACTCACTGGCAGGCAAAGTCCAAGTCCCTGGGTGCCTTCCAAGTCCAAAGCAAACGGCTCGAGTGTGCCGGCATCTCAGACATCTCACGATCTCAAGACGACGGCGGTGAGAGCCTGCTATCCTGGGTCTCCTGGCCATCCTGCCACCCTGCGAGTCTGGTCGGGGCGATAAAACGCCTCAATGTTCACTTATTGGCTGGGCGTGAGGAATTTTTATATTAATTTATTGGTCTGTCTCGAATGGAAGTCAGCAGGCCGGCAATCGGTAATCGACAATCGGTCGGCCGGCTTTTAAATTATGAATTGAATTGGAAGTGGAACTGGAACTGAAACCTGGCGCAGGTTCGAGGTCGAGAGACTTCAAGGTTCGTTGCTGCCTCTTGCCGAGGAGTCGGGTCCTGTTTGTGCATTTTTCGTATTTTGCGTAAATTTTATTTTTTCAATTCCTCTTTTGCCGGATTCGGTTTTAATGGCTTTTTAAATGCCAACTGATAAATGGCCAGCCTGCATGACAAATGAGATTTCCGCCCCGGTCCGGGAATAAAGTGTTTCTGTTCATGTTATTATTGTTCTTGTTTTTTTTTTGTGTCAGCGTTCGGCGGATTATTAACTTATATGGCAAGGAGCTCATTAATAATTCGCTTATAAAATGAAATGGCAAAAGGGAAACTCTCAATGCGTCAAAGATTAAACAAAGGTCGTTACCAGGAAAGCTCGTTTTATATTTCGTGTTAAAATATTACGCATACGCCCGGGATGGACAGGGTTGGTCTCCTGGGGTTGCCCGACATCGTTTGACATCGAAATTAAATGCAGAATAACAAGTTACCCAGTCATCTTTCGCAGGTACTTAGCTTCTGCCTTGAAAGTTTCTTGGTGTCCCTTCTTATTTTGTATTTTTTTCGTTGCGGTAGTTGGGTCGAGGACAAAGGACACTGGCTGTTTGGCAGAGGGACGACGTACAGGACAAGCAGTCTGAACTTTTCGCGTAATTTCACGTATTTTGTGCAAATACGCTCAAATATGCCGCACAACAGCCGACGGACAAACAAACAAAACTGTTTTTCTTTCCCTTCTGCCAGCCTGCCAGCCTGCCCTCCACCCAGCCACCCAGTCATATTTTCCACATTTTTGTCCTCAAATTTGTCTGGGGATCGTTGTCAGTTTTTAGGTAAAATTAAATTTTATTTATTCATACATTATTGTATTAACTGTCAGCCGATTGCCGAACCGTGCAAGTCATAAATAATGTAGTGTCTGAGTACTTATCATAAAAATATTACGATTTGTGGCAATACACCCAGCAAAAACTAATTGCAATCACACAATCCACTCTCCTCCTTCTCCTGGCATTGTTTATCCTTTTGCTTTGGCAAATAAAGGCGGAAAAGTGCAATATCACTGCTATTTGATTTTCGAGGGCAAACAGTGAGGCTGCACTTTCCGGGCCGGACAGCACATCTTAAATGGATTAAAAACCAATGGAAATTAAATTGGATTTGCCCAGGCAAGAGTCCTGGCTCAAGATTTTACTATTCATTCGACAAATCCCCAACACCAGCAACATTGTATTGAATGCTGGCTTTAAGGTCCAATTGTTTTTAAACGATGCCCATATGCTGTTGTTGGCTCGAAAAGTTGAAGCTGAAAAGTGATTTGCCGTAACGTTTTGTGGCTCTCGATTTAGTCGTAAAAACGTTGCCAGCTTACACACTCAAGCACACAAGAAATACAAGCTATGAAGCTATGAAAAAAAAAACAAACAGAATACAAAAAAGAAAAATAGAAAACAAGAAACCGAGCAACAACAAAGGACTGTAGCATAAATCGAGGCGCTGTCGCAGGACTAAACTGATTTTTATGCCAACGAGGGCCGAAAGGGAGGGCCGAAATGGCGGGGCCACATCGCCTCGAGAATACAAAACAATAGTGCGTAAAGATGGGCAAATTGTCTATTTAGAAAAAGGGATACAAGGTCAGCCATTGCTCCTTGTCGGTGGATCCTTGTCCGTGGATTGTTGCTCATCCTTCCGCCAGCGGGGTCAGCGGTACAACAAAGGCGACCAAACAGAATGATGTCCTGTTTAGTGCTGGCTCAACGAAGCTCAATATTTTATAGACTATAGACAAACTCTGAATAATTTATGCGCCATAAAAATGAAATCGAATTGCGAGTCTCAGTCTAGGGCCGAGTCTCTGGCCCTTTTCAAAAGAGTCATCAAGGGGCAATTTATGGCGAGTTGACCATTTCGCCCTGTTCGGATCCTGTTGCTTTATAATCGAGATCTCTTTTTTATTTTGTATCGGGTGTCCTGGGCATCCTACCTACATATGTGTCAGGTAAGCAGGGAACACTTGACGTTCGTTTTATGCAAATTAGTTTCAAATAACAGCCGCAGCCACACAGCAGCCAAAAAGTTGTTACATAAATTTCCCAACTGCTGAAAAATAAATTAAATTAAATGAAGTTGAAAACTGCGACAAAGCGCGCCATGTCGCCCCTGACCGAAAAATATTTGTTTATGGCGGGGAAAATTTATGTAAAAGAGCTTAAAATGATACGCGACAAGCGCAAAAATGCAATGAAAATATTTCCCAGCTCGATTCTGTGATCAAATTAAGGTGGAACAATCTCTGGCGCAATAGCTGCCCCAGTTATTATTGCCAAAGTTTAAACTTATGTTCGGAGGGGAAATTAGTTTTGGGGGCAACGTGCCGGAACCAGCAGTTCTGGGCCTGATTGAAATTGAACCGCGGCTGGGAACTAAGGAGGAGGTATGTATAGGTGGATGGGTGGGCAAGTGGCATCTTTCCGTATAGGAATTTAATTGAAAGATAGTTCCTCGATAGGAAGCCATATGAAATTGCTTGAAATCTCGCACGGTCCCCAGACGTGATCTCGTTTCCCGATGCGTTCTGTCTTGGCCGGAATGACGTGACTTGGCTGCTACGTGCTCCGCCACATTAGCGGCATCTAACCGTGGCGCAACGTAAACATAATCATCTAACCCTCCATCCATGGCTTTCCACATCCACATCCACATCCATATCCTTGTGTGTGTCGCGTTGTCGCATGAAAAGTGGAAAATCGGGTTAACAGTGCCAAAAACGCAGACAATGGCAAACGTTGACTGCGGTTCGCGATAAATCAGCAACAATACATCCTGGATCCCCCAATCCTCCATTGCCAGGACCAAACACAATGCTCCTAACTCCAGCGCTATTCTATGGGAAGCGTTCAGGTCGTTTGTGGCGAAAATAGATTTAAAATTTATAAATTATGAGCATTTGT